AAGAAAAGAACCACAATTTTAGCGGGTGATTTGCATAAATATTGGTAAAATAAAAAATTTCTCACAAATATAATGGGAGGTTATATTTACACAAATAATGTGATGAGAAGCGAGAATGCGCTCCTCACGCATACAGAGCGAAATTAACGTTATTTAGCTCAATATGCGCATACCGCCTAGCTGAGAAAAAACTAAAAAGTATAAATATTTAGCTCAGCATGCGCGATAGTGCGTGTACCAAGGTACATAATATCAAACTATAGTGATAGTGGAGACCGAGATATAAGGGATCGAATTCTACATGGAGGTATGCACAAGAGAAGGCATCAATAATCGATATGCTTATCACTTCATGACCCGCAAGTTGAGAACGTTTTGGAGCAAAATTGGAGAAATCGTGAACGATGAAGACGCTTGGTGAGGAAGTCTGTGAATTGATTGTGATTATAGATTCAGCGAACCAACACACAACCAATGTCAACTCGTTTATGAACAATCTGAAAATCAATCTCCATGTCGACATAGTTATCCTACCTTGTCTAGTTCTACTGTTGCTTCCCAATTCACTACTTCTTCATCATTCCAAATAACACTGCCTCCTCTTCATCATCATATTGTTTTGCAGTTAACTCCTAACAACATTCCAATCTGGCATATGCAACTCTTACCTCTTCTTACCAGCTAGCTACAATATTGCTAAATACGTTGATGGCTCCTCACTTGCTCTCCTAAAGTCTTGACGCCCGACTCACCTCTACCTATGATGCATGATATCATCGTGATCAAAATGTCTTCCCCTAAATTGTAATCTCCCTCACCAACTCTGTTCTTTCCAAACTTGATAAGCAACCCACAAGATGCAGCCAAAAGATTTCAGGCTTCACAACCACTAGAGTAACCTACAAGCTTGGAAGAACATAATCGGTGAGGGACATTGTAATTTAGGAGAAAACAAGTTGATCATGCCTGTACCAGACTTCATATCCAGGATTGAGCTGTCATCAAAATACCCTGGGGGAGGAGCAGGGCAGGATTCTTCAAAGTATTTGGCAACTTCATAGTTGGTAAGAAGAAAGAGGTGCATTCGCTAGAGTAGATAATAAGTTACTAACTCACTATTTTGAAAATTAGGGTTTTCAAGAGAAAGGGAAAGAGGGGAAATGAATTGGAATCTGTTGGTTCGAAGTGAACGACTGAGATGGCGTATCTCTTCGTTCTCGTTGAAACCAAAAAGAATTTGGCTAGAATTTTTAACAGTCGGCCCAATACGAAAAATAAAGAACACTGACTTTGTTGTTGGCCCAATGGAGATAAAACGCAGGAGTGATTTAAACTTTGAGTCGTCTGCTTTTCTAAGCTTCAAACTCAGAGACTCCACACTCTATTTTTCCAAGAGGGTGAACTAGAAATAGAGTAAGCAAAACCAAATGGAGAGATTCGAAAAAGAGAAGGCACACAAGTTTTTTAACGTGGTTCACCAAGTTGGCTACCCCACATCCTATAATCAGTGCCCAGTGATTTCCATGAGACTCTTTTTATTGGTTTTCTTCTATCAAACAAGAAAGCTGTGAAAATTAAAAGAACGAGTAAGCTGAAAAACCCAGACCCCTAATTTGGCTTGTTTCAACCTATCACGATTTAGGATCTCTGCCTCTAAATTCGTAGTACACTTTGTAATCCAAAGCCCTTTACCACTCCCAATTACAAAGCTTGATAAGAGAGAGCTCGACAGGAGCTATTTATACAAGGCATCAATGTGACTATTGAGCTTGAAAACAATCCAGAAAAGGATAGCTGGATTTGCTGAGTAATTTCCTTTAATTCTCCAATTTCATATTTCCATCCTTCAACAATCTCCCCCTAAAGTTGAAATTGCATATTGCAAAGAGTGTCTGCAAAAATAACAAAAAATAATAAATACCTTTCTACGCAAAGAGGATGATAAACTTTAATTAATCAAAACTCTGCCAACAAATTGGACACAACCACCAAGGTATCAAAAGAAAGTATGACCACATCCAGGCCGAGTAAGCCAAATTTATTAGAATTAAATAAGAAAATATAGTTCCAAAGCAACAAACGATAAACAAACAAACCTCCCCTTGAAGTCTGGACGCCTTCATTGTCAGAGTCTGATCCATAGAGAGCTTGCAAGGCAGTAACAAAGGATTCTAGTTCGGGAGCATCTGTGCCAGAACGATCGTCGGAGTCTTAAGAGTCAGAATCCTCTGAGTCTCTGCTGATGATGTGAACATTAGGCACGTTCTCCCCTTCAATCGCAATTTCTTCTGGTCTCCATGCTGCTCACAGGGACCCATAATGAAAATTGCGATTGAGGGGGAGAACATGCCCTAATCTCCACAAAAGGAAAGCTGGTTGCTGAGTAATCTCCTTTAATTCTGCAATTTCGAATTTCCATCCCTCAACAGTCAACATTGTTGTGAGTCGATTTCATAATTATACAAGGAGGAGGTGGAGGAGATTGGCAAGACGAAGAAACAGAGGAGTGGGAAGCAACAGTAGAATCAGAGGATGTAGAAATACCAATAGACATGGTAAGAGCATAATAGGAAGAAAGGGATGTCAGTCTGCCACTCTGCCGTGAGGCTTTGTGAATTCGGTAACATGAAATCTATAAATGTTTCACACTCTTTCTTTCCATTGCTAAGGAATTTATACAAGAGAGAGAGACAAAATATTGTAATGTGAACAAAGTTGATGCGATATATTAGTAATATAATTATACATGGTGGTGGGTATGCATAAAATAAGCCAGAAAACTCTGTCAAAAGGTGAAAAAAGAAAAAACAAGTTTTCTAGTACCAGTATTTGAATGAAGTGCATATTTATAGGTAAAAATGAGTGACTTAACCCTCTTATAAATCATAAAAGAGTTGAAGTTCCAATAGAATTAGTTATACGTAAGTAAAATACATTGTTTTTCATATTTTCATTGTACTTATTAGTTGTATCTACATTCTTGAGCGGCAAATATGATCACTAATATATGTGCCCTACTTGACATAATTATTTAACAATCTTCCATTAAGAAGATTTGAATTTGCGAAAATATAATGAATGATGGAACCTTTCCAACAAAAATAAGATGACCTTATCCATTTTACATGTATATCACTTTCTTGATTCTTATGAAGAAAGTAATAGTTTTATATTCGGTATTGTTTTAAACACTTTTCCGATATCGGTTAAATACTAGGTAGAGCGATCTGCGATTGAATGATAGATTGATCGATTCACGAGGAACGCGCAACCATGAGTCCTAGGAAAAACAAATCCTTAAAGAATATAAAATTTATGTTTTGCGATCCATCATTCTACTTTTATTCGTTACAATATTCCGTCATCAAATAGGATAGGATTGCATAAAAGTATTGTTCTAACTTCTAAGTTCTAACTCAAATGTCTATTGAGTTCATTGACTCTAGTTGTAAAACCGAAAGATTCTATAGCAAACGGTAATAATATCTTAAAATATATTAAAGGGGTTTGAGAAAAACACCCACTCCACGTCAGCCTTAAACGCCTCCCCTTAATTCTCGGTAGATTTTTTTTTTTTTTGCTTTTCTTTTTTATCGTAGGTTTGAGCGAACTTCAGTTTTTTTTTCTTCCGTTAATTAACTCTTAACACGATTTTTAAGCATGCGTTCAACATTTCATATAAAAAAATTATTTAATTTTCCTATCTAAATGGAACGTGTGGCCTTTCTCTGAAAGTTGGGTATTTTTTTAAGAAAAAAATATCCTTTTTTAATAGGAGGGGGAAATATCATATTTAAGTTTTTTTTAAATGCCTATTTAAGTTTGTTTGTTCGGACTTAATTCCCATATTTTAAATGTAGCAGTAGTTATTTTAGAATGTGTTAGATAATTGCTAAACGTAACTAAATTATATATCATAGATTCCAAATGAATAACAAATGTCTCAATTTTTTATAATAATTAAAATTTTAAATTATATTTTTACATTGTAAAGTTATTCTTGAAGCGGCACTGTGTTTTTATGCTCTTGAAATTCATTGTTTGTCCATTATATAAGATAATAATCAATTTGAGGGTACTCATTGGTGTTAATCCAAATATAGAAAACAATTATTGTATATGATAATCATTTTAATATTTTGGTGGATAAATGTTTCATGTTACCTACATTGAGACTTCAAAAATCATGATTGCAACTGCTTTAGAATATTAGAGAACTGAATAAACATGACTACCATGATAAATTATGAGAATTTTGAACATATGTCTACGAATGACACAATCGATAATCAATTTACTAAATTAATAGTTGATGATATTGACATTGAGATATGAATTTATGATTGAAAAACACAAAATGTATGATTGAGTATTGAGTGCGTGTTTGAGAAGTTAAGTCACAAAGTCAAACTTTCATATACTAATATTGACATCACACACTAGACATCACAAATTATTTTTTGAAGAAATGTGTTATAACAATGTCATCAATTATGAATAACCAAAATAATTTGAACATATACGAATGAACATAATTAAAATATAAAAATTAAAATCCACCCGGCCGACGGCCGGGTACAAAGCTAGTAACATCATATGGGGCTATATTTGATGTGTTAATAGATTCAGATCTGATTCAGATTTCATATGATTAGTTGAATATTGTAGCTTCTAGTATGGTTGCAATTTGATTGACGGTATTATTAAGTGATTGAAATATTAATCCAACGAGGGTCCATAGCTCAGTGGTAGAGCAATTGACTGCAGATCAATAGGTCACCGGTTCGAACCCGGTTGGGCCCTTATCAATTCTTTTTGGCAACCAGACCAGTTGATTCATTCAACAACGTTGGCTTAGCATGTTTCTTCACCTAACTTATTGCCATAATAGCATGATCCATTCTCTTAACGTGTTCCACCTGTAGCAGGAAGTATCAATAACCTCTACTACAAGGCCACTAATTAACTCAAAAGCTTATCAAAGCTGGTAAATGATAAACTGGAAGCAAACAGGAGTTGATATGACAGCTGACAATAGCCACAAAACCAATAATAGCATTTTACATAAGATTTCATAAGTTTTTGAATTAAGAGAAACCACCATCCTGCTGTATTCAGCATCTAGAAGAAACATCATCTTCAGGTGAAATACAAAGTTCTAAGACAAAAAATGAAAACCTCTACAAACATGTACTCCAGTCCGAAGAATGTCTTCCAAATATATTATCTTTTCTTCTTAGGATTCTTGCAAATGAAAAGGAGCAGAAACAAAAAGGTCAGGAAAAGAAAAAGGGAAAAAAATAAGAGTCTCAGAGAATCCAGGGCCAGGCAGTCCATCTTCATATCTCCAGATCCAGCATTACAAGAAGATAAACTGACTGATATAAACCCACCACAATCCCAATCTCTGACGAAAGAATTCTCTTCATTTTTACCCCAACCGAAGCAACCAACTATATGCAGATGATTCAGAGCGCAACTCCACCGTTTCGATGTGAGGTTAACAAGGTAAAAGGTAAACGAAGCACAGGTTTTGAACCACCCTACCCTTGGTGGTAAACTATGCTTGTGCTCTCTCACTCTCAACCAAATACAGCAAATTTTGGATTTTTTTAACTGCTGGATTGATTGATTATGAGTTTGGAGTCTTTTTACTTTCGAGGGCTGATCCTTCTTTCAGAGCTGCTTGTGCTTCAGCCTCTCTTCCCAGGGCGAAAAGAGCACCAGCTTGCAAGTAAGATGCAAAGTGCCAGACGGGGGATATCACTTGGGCTTGAATTGCATCATTCAGGGCTTCTTGTGGCATGTCGCTCATCAGGTAAGACAAGCTTCTTCGTGCATACACTGTTGGTGACACCATTGTCCCCACTTCTATGAACTGCAATAAGAATTTCAGAATAAAGGTCGTCAGATAGGTAACTCTAGGAGATATTTTTCATTTCAACAAAGGAAATGAATGAAGGAAACCAATGTATATAACCTGGGTATAGCATTCAATGGCAGCTTTGAAGTCCTTGTGCCGAAAGGCAACATCACCCTTTTTCTTTGAATTTAGTGTATCCTGCATTTGGTTGGTCCACATCTGGAACGAGAGCTACAATACCAGAAGAATGAATCGACTAAGCATGGCAGAAAGTAACATGCTGCACCATGAAGGCCAAGCAAGGGCAGAATGAATGGGTTTGTGCAAGCACCGAGTGGATGTAAAGTTCAAGCACCATCACCAACTCAAATGCATTTTTTATAAATTAGATCAGAAACTGACATAACAACATAATCAGAGCTGGATTCCCTATGCATCGAATTAAAAGCAAGGAAGTAATCAAGGGGCGAATGACTCCGCGAATAAGAATCCACAGTATGTATTTTAGATTAAAAATGGAATTTCAACAAACCTCAGTGGCAGCACCTTCGTCATCTTTATACCCTATCTTTTCTAAGATCTCATGTATGGCAGTCATATCATTTCTTAAGCAAGCCTCGCCAAGGGGTGACAGAGGTACGGCTGCAGCAACATCTGGTACACCCATCAATACATGTGAAGGAACCTGCACAATCAATGCCCTAAGTTCATCTCATTCATGACAACAAAAGGACTTAAAGGGATGGCAGTAGCTTGCACCTAGAGAATTTCAACAAAACTAGGCAGCTGACTGTTTGAATAGATAATCTACAGGTAGTTCTCCATTTACAATTTTGAATAGTAATATGCTATGAGCATTCATATCCAACACAAAGACTAGAAGACAGAATGAGTGGTTACACAAGAAACTCACCTCAGTTTCCTTCTGAAGAGGAATCAAAGCAGTAACCAATGACTTGGGATTTGGTCGCTCTCGCGGCTCAAATTGTAGACATCGAGAAGCTAACCTCACCAACTCAGTTCCGTCATCGTTGGTGAATTGGCCTTCCAGGCAGGAATCTGTCAGCATTTGAATGTTCCGGTCTCGTATTAAGTCCAGTGCCTAAAAAGTAATTGTGGAACCAATGTTACAAGACATCAAGGACAGAGATATTCAATTCTACTACGCAGTAAAAAAAATTTAGCAAACTTTATTGAGACTCCAACCAGAAACAATTTGCATTACTCATCCTTCCAGGCTCCAACATGGTTACGTACTGTAAACATTCTGGCTCATGTTATTGCCAGACAGGAAAAACATATGCAGTTACATCTAATTTTCTAATTTTATACCACTGGTCCTTATGCATCCTACCCAAGAAGATAACTGCAGACAGCTATGAGCAACCATGAATCCTGATTACTAACAGCTCTCTGGACCTCTCAATTAGACGAGATAACTCTAAAATGTTTTCTCTATCCCCGTGAAAATGCAAGAAAAGTAAGACAGCATATATGAGAGATGAAGGAGTTTAAACATAGAACCAAGTAACAGACTTCTCTTGTGACTGGTTAAAAAATGACGATATCAAGGTAGAAACTTACATGGCTTGGAGGAATGTGTTTTCCACTGAGGAGGTCAAGCAAAAGGGTGCCAAAGCTATAAATCACACTTTCTGGTGTTACTCTACCTACAAACAAAGAGAACAGCAGGTTATAATCATATAAAAAATTACTATTCAGCCAAGGCATAAGTCGGAGAACCGACAGGATAATGATCATGCAACTCAGTCTCTAATGCTATCAGTAGCCAGTGCACTTGAGAATAATAACACATATATCAGGGTCAAGTGTAAATGTACAGCAAATTTTGTTTCAGCGTGTTTACCTGTTCTTAGATACTCTGGAGGAGTGAATGCCAAGTTTGTACTGTAACTTTTTCCATCTCTACTGTTCTTCATCAGACCAAAGCATGAAAGTCGAGGATTTGCTTCCTAGGAAACAAATAAAGTTTTAGACAGGCCTTTAACATATTTTTAATTGAGGACTGAGGGTTCGGTCATCTTAAGAGATCATTGAGTACTTACATCATCAAAAACAATTCTATAAGCATTCAGATCATGATAAAGAGCACGGCCTTTGCTCGTACAATATTCCAGGGCCTGAGCTAAATATAAAGCCACTCTCAGTCGCATTGCCCATTTCATTGGTTGTGCTTCCCCTGAGGAAAGAGAAATAAGTTATGCTACAAGGCTGGTACAACAAAAACCTCAGGATGAGGATAGACGACTTATGACAGAACACCTTTCTCTGTGAACATAGAATGGAGGATGCAAGTGCTGAAATTTGTTAAGACATGTTTCCCCAAACACAAAGCCCTGGCCAGACCAAGAACCCTAAAACTTACAATGAAATAGGTGCTTTGCTAGGGTATCATTCGGCATAAATTCAGCTACAAGAAGCCTCTCTTCTCCCTCGCAGCAACAACCGAGTAAGTTAACCAGCTTATGATTTCGGAGCTGCCCAACTGATCTTGCTTCATCCTAAAGTTAAAGGAAAACAAATTAGTTAAACTACATATGGTACATTCAAGAACATCAGCAATAAAGCATTCAAAGGAACATATTTTTTGGACCCACCAAAAACTGCCTGGAATCAGGCCAAGCTGATCTATTGAAGCGTTTGACCGCAATCTTCCTCTGATTATCAAGCTTTCCCTTATAAACAACATTAGGAGCCTTCTCTCCATGTTCAGAAACTATATTCTCCACTGCAAAACCAGAAGTTGCCATCCTGATTGTGTCAATGGAGTATTCGCGAAATGCAGGCAGGTCGTCAGCTTCACCCTTCTCCTCATTTTCTAGAAAGTAAAAACCATATGAAAAAAATTCAATCTCATCTCATAATTGACTTAAGAAACCAAGGCAACAAGAACCAATCAACACCAACTTTCTTTACCTTCTCTGTGGTCCTGAGGAACTGCTTCATTATATTCTGAATTCCAACAACATGAGGAGAGCTTTGAACACTCGCAGCCCATCCCAGCTATAAAAAAAATAACTTAGAAAGGGGATGTTCTAACTAATGTTCAAATCTTCTAAAACTGTGCCAACTTTTGCTCCGCTCAATTATTCCATCCAACTTTGCAGACTAATGATTCAATCAAAACAGTTTCATAGTCAACAGGCCAGAAAGTTCCACCAAGTGCTCCTCCAACCTGCGGCAAGAACAGTCATTCACTGATGTAAAATTCTGTAAACAAACAACTCAATACACAAAGCAGAAAACAGCTAAAAACAAGGACATTAATCATCTGTTTACTGTAGGCACACGTTAAAAAGGAAAAACAAGGATAACCATAAATCTCTAATTCCAGAAGGAACCCTCAAGTTCAAAATTTTCTTTCCAGCTATAATGAACCTAAACTTGATCAAATCAACAGATTCAAATTGCAAACTTCCATTCTTTTTTCTCAACTTCCCCATTAAGCATGGAAAGCAAAGAGAAAGCAATTCCTCCATGGTCAACTCAAAGCAGCAAAGAGGTCAAATGGAATTCCCAGCTCTAAAGCAAGCTCTCAGCTGATTCAGCTCACGGAAATCAAATTCAAACGCACCAAGAAACCACATAAACCAGAAAGCAACTCACGCAACAGACAAAGCACAAATCTTTATCCACAAATTCAATACAACTGCACGAGGGTATAAAGCTAAGCACCTGAATCAGGGTAACACAAAGAGAAGAAGAAGAGCAGAAGAACCCCTTGGCTGCTCAAGAAGAGAAATGTAAAAAGCAAGAAGCTTTTTTAATGGGTTTTCTCTCTTGTAACCCTTCGGTGGGTCATTGGGGATTGGGGAAGGATCAAAAACCTTGAAAAGGTGATTTTGGGCAGTGGGTATTTGGAGTTGTGTATTTTCTGAATCTGAGATCAATTGGGGGTTTGTGCTGTCTGCTCCCCTTTTGTTTTCTGCCCTTGCTGCTCTTCTAAAATCTAAACCTTTTTTTCTTTTTCTTTTTTTGCTTGGCTTTGAGAGTTGAGAAAAGAGGAGAGGCTTTGAGATTGGGATTAGAATATTGGGGATATACAAAAAACAATTATTTTATTATTCTTTCAATACATGTATATAAGCAAAAAATATGGGTGGAGATTTGTGTGTCTGGTGCTTACTGTTGAGCCCTTTTGGCAGTGGGGATTTGTTTTTGGTGTGTTGTTTTGCGCTGGTTGTGGGTTGTGCTGTGGCTGCTTGCTTCTTCTCCCTTGACCCTTCTGTTCTGTGATTTGTTCGTTGTGTTTTTAAATTTTTTATTTATTTCGGATCATAGTTGTATCTTTATATATAACTCTTCCATTTTCTTCCAGTTTTCCACCGACATGACTCCTTACTTTCTTTCTCATTTCCATTTCTTCACTTAGGAAGTTCTAATGAAACTTTCTTACAAATATGAATTTCTTATTACTTACTATTTGGAGCATTATTGCGGTGTTATATTTTTGGAATAATGAGTGCGTTTTGACATTTTGAAGGTTTTTGAGTGTTGTTTGAGTATTTCAAGAATGAGGTTTAATCATATACTTATAGTCACAAGAAATTAGTCAGACTTATATAATGTAATTATGGAGATTTGTTATTAAATAAAGAGTTAATATATTTGTATGGTCTGAACTTTGACCATAATAAATATCCTGACCAATATTTTTGATCTATAACATTCTGGTCTAAACTATACATCAAAATAAGGAAATTGGCCAAACTCGGTGTTTGACTGTTAACTTGGACGATCAAAAGCTTTGACTAACGGTCAACGCGTCACGTCACTGCCAAGTCAGTAACTTTCAATTAATTTTTTTTTTCTAATTTCCACCTATTATCTTTTTCCTTTTGAACAAAAAAAAAATGAAAAAAATGAATTTTACTTTTCGGGGACCAGCTGCTAACCCTACCTTATCCACATCTTAACCTCATCCACAGAAATCACCAGCCGCCCCTCACCTTCACCTTCCTTAAACGTCGAAGGAAATTTCCTCCTTTGTCCGACGAAAATGCAGCGGCGGGCATTCTTCTAATCTCGCCGTCGCTGCCGCTATCGATTTCCACCCCTCTCCTTTGTACTCTCGAGCGAAGAGTTCGTGAGGTAAGTTTCCGCCTCCTCCTTGCGATTTCTACTTCTCTAGATTGAATTGATTTGGTGAAATGGGACGACGACGGGACCACATTCCAAATGGACCACAACGGCTAGATCGTTGTTCCCACTAGCAACGTAAGCAATCCCTTTGTGTCCATTTCTTTTCTTTTTTAATCCTCGATACATACAAGGATTAGGGTCTTTCAAGTAAAGTAATGCTCGTGACCAACATATGTCGGGTTCAGAGCTGGAAATTGAGATTAAAGTAATAATTTCCCTTTGTCTTTGTCGGTTAGTGAGTTAAACAGAGATTAATCAAATGCGTATTAATTTTTTGTTTGTCTTTGCTAGAATGGACGACATTATCGAGCTTATTCTGTATGATGGATGTGAAATGGATATGTCGGGGGGATGTTTCATAGTATGTTGGGGGGTTGTCGATGTCGTGAATGTGAATCGGGATGTCTTGTACTACTTCGAATTGACGACGACTTTGATTGAAGATTTGGAGTATATTTCCGTCGAGAGACTATGGTACTTGACACTTGGGGAAAGTATGGCTACTGAATTGCATGAAATTGTTTAGGATGTGGAGGTTGTAACTGGATTGCTTCTCTTGGTTGGAACTAGAGATATAAGGGTGTACTTTGAGGCTACAAGGGATCTTGGAGAGCTGGGTTATATGGGACACCAATTATGGCCATTTTCTTGAAGGGGAAGATGCATCTGGAGACAATTCAGCTGCACCTGAATTTGTTCGGCTAGTAGAAGATGATGCTCAGACATCTGACAAGGAGTACCATGAAATTAGAGCTGATGCTTGGAAAATAAGTAGAAGATTTAGAGCAGAGCTTTATGGTGAAAGAAGTTCGGTGAATCAATTATTTGCGTGGGATGTCAACCATCATGTTGATGTGGCTTCAATAATGCTAGCATTGAGGGTGGATCGGCAGCTGAGACTGTGGAGCTTGATGAGAGTTTGGAGATTGAGGAAAGCATTGTTAGGAGTGAGGAACAAAGTAACGTGGATAAGGAGATCAATGTTGAAGGATCGGTTGATATGGAGTATAGGGCCTCTGAAGATTCTACTTATGTTAGAGGGAATATTGCTGAAGATGAAGGTGTTACAAGTTTCGACAAGATCTTGGGTTATGATCCCAACTGGGATCATAGCACATTGAAGTTCAAAACACATATGTGATTATATCTCCTACTCAGTTTAAAGATGTTGTTGTGAAGAGTGCAATTCATAATGGAGCGGATATTAGATGGATTAGGAGTAGTGAATCGAGGAAGGAGGTTGTGTGTGCCCAAAGGGATGAGTATGGTTGCAAATGGAAGGTTTATGGTAGTTGGTTCCGTGGACAAGAAACATTCACGGTGAAAGCTTCTGGACCAGACCATAGTTTCCCTCGAGCGATTCAGATTTGTGCGGCGGGTTACAAGTGGATCGCATCTGAGTACCTCGAGGTTTTTCGGGTAAATCAAGCATGGAATGTCAACTTAATAACTGATGAATTGAAGACCAAACACAATCTTTCGGAGTATCACAACACTAGAAGATGTCCTATGAATGTTGGTATTCAGGTATAGTGTGAATGGTGTTTGAATCCAGTGTGAATGGTGTTTGAATGAAAGTTTCTACTTAACACAACCATGTCCATATGTTTGATCTCAATCGTGAATGGTGTTTGAATTTGATATGGTGTGAATATTGAGCCTGGTGTTTGAGAGTGAGTTTGGTTTGATGTAGTGTGAATGTTTTGACTGTGTAGGCTCCTCATGTCGGCTCATCCCGTAGGAATGTAACAGATAGGGAAATGAGAATGACAATGCAAGGAATTGGAACCTATATTGATGAGAACACCATCAACATGTATGCTAGGGTAAGGATAATTCTTTGCTTATAATGCCACTCTCTGTTTTTTAGTTGGTAAGGCTAATTCTTTGTTTTTTGGCAGCTAAGTACGTGGGTTCCAGAGAGTGCTGGAGGTGTGCAACCCACTGCACCAGACTGTCCTGTTGTAGGTGCTAGCCACCTACTACTCAGCCAGAGGTGCCTTAGGGAAGCTAGAAGAAAGCTTGGTAGCTTAGGTTTTAGGAATGCTCCACACTTTTGTAATTTGTACATGGATGCATATGGTAGCACATGTTTCGGATTATGTACTCTAGTCCGAAGGTGAGCAGTATGAACCTATTTTGTACATGCTAGGACAATTTAGCAGGATTCTTACTTATGTTAGGTACTCAGAATTCAGACTTATGCTAGCAGTAGAAAGCTTCGAGTCACTCTTTTGCTAGGTACTCAGAATCCATACTTATGTTAATAGGATTCTGCCCTATTTTGTACATGCTAGGACATGTTAACCTGATGGTGATATATGTATATGGTTCACAAGGGTTGGTGAATGCAAGTATGGTTGATGTTTATGTATACTAGCTCGGTTTAAATCGATCAGTTTTATTCAACATAAAATCTCCATTACATACGAACAAGAAACCACACGATTAAAATTTTCCATTTTTATTCGAAATGAAATCTCCATTACATATGAACCAGTCCACACACAATTACAACAACAACTACGAATAGCACACAAAAACATCATAAAGTCATCCTCTTTTTAAGTGCATAAATCGTATGTCTCATCTTTCGCAGTTTGACACAACTTGCAACATTGAGTTTGACAAGCTTGGTAAAGTCTTCTAAAATTGCAGCCTTCTCTTCCTTACGTTTCCTCGCCTTCTCTTCTGCTTTACGAATACGGCCTTCTAGCGCTTTCATATCACCGAGCTTCAACTTCAGTTCATGATTATCTTCCATCAATCCATCAACCATCGAGTCACTCTCGGGCTCATCATCAAAACATCGGAAAAAGCGACAATTATTTTTGTGATCCTACAGAAGAAGAAGAGGTGAATCGTGGTTGTGTTGGTCGAAAACAAAGATTTGAACAGAGATTTCAACCTACCTTCCAATATGGACAAGAGTACAAATATTCTTCCAGGATTCAAGCTAGTGCGAGATGTATTCATCACACACGGGGCTTTGTGCACTTTACATAGAATCGTGGTTGTGTTGGTCGAACGGGAAGAAGTGGAACCTTCATCAGCATTTTTCCCGGATCTCCACGCCATGTCTCTTTCTACAAAGTAGGTGGGTGGTCAAACCTTCGACGGTGACGGCGGACGACGAGTGGCGGCAGCGCTGAGTTTTTCTGTCATTTTCTACAATTTCGTTGGCGGCCGACGCGATGGGTGAAGAGAGGAGAGGAGACGAAGTGGGGGGTGAATGAGGTTAGGGCAGGGGGTCTGTTGGGAGATATACTCGAAAAGTAAAATTCATTTTTCCTTTTTTTGCTTCAAAATGAAAAAATGAAATTATTATAGATGGAAATGAAAACAAAATTAATTGAAAGTTGCTGACTTGGCAGTAATGTGGCGCGTTAACCGTCCAAGTTAACGGTCAAACATCGGGTTTTGCCAATTTCGTTATTTTGATGTATAGTTTGGGCCAGGATGTTATAGATCGAAAAGATTGGTCAGGATGTTTATTATGGTTAAAGTTCAGGCCATACAAATATATTAACCCTTAAATAAATACAAAATCGGAATCCTGTAAATAGATTCTCTCTCTCCATTCTCCAATTTCAGTTGAAATCCCCCTCCCTCCCTCTCTTGTCGTCGTCAAGGGTCGAACCCTCTTCTCTCTTGACAAAAATCCAAAAGTACCACTGTTTTAAAAAAAATTTACAAAAATACCACCCTCACCAAATAATTTCCAAACATACCATCGTTTATATAAAACCGCGCCTCTGATGAGCGGTTTATATTGAAACCGCAGCCTAGAGGCGCGGTTTCATCACAAAACGCTTCACCAAGGAGCGGTTTGACCTTGCATGGCTGTCAAACCGCGTGTCCACGTGGCGTTTCATCAAACCGCTCGTTGGGAGAGCGATCTAAAGGCCAAAACGTGTGCCAGCCAGGCGATCCGCGTCGACTAAGTAAACCGCGTCCCCGAGGCGCGGTTTGACTGTTCGGGAAAAGCAAACCGCGTCCCCGAGGCGCGGTTGACTGTTCGGGAGAAGCAAACCGCGTCTCCGAGGCGCGGTTTTCGTTGGAGAAAATTGACGAAATGGCCCCCGGGGACGCGGTTTGTACCCTATATAAACCCCCCCCCCCCCCCTCACTTTTCTGCACACCAACCTCATTCCCCCCCTCTCTCTCTAACTTCTCCCTATCCACTCCCCTCCCCAGCCAAAAACCTTAGAAACGTTTTTTTTGTTGGTTGCGGCCTAAGTCTGATCTGCCTCCAAAAAACTTTTCTTTGGTCTTCACTAAAAAACCGTCGAACCTCTGTCCGAAGAACCATCCATAGCTATCGGTATTCTCTCCCTCCACAATGGCAAAGCTTAATGGATATACTAATCTATTTGCATCTGCTCCGCTGGCAATCAGTAGAGTACCCTTGTACTTGCCGGTAAGGAATGTTCCATCAACTTGAATCACAGGAACACAGTATGGAAAACCATCAATACATGGCTTGAAGGCCCAGAAAAGACGCTTGAATTGGCGATTGTTACCAGCCACCGGCGATTGAATTTCTTCATCTTGGTAGCGAGGCGAGAAAATGGTTCCAGGGTTAGACACCTCCAACGCCAAAATCAGTTTGGGAAGGAATGCATATGATTCTTCCCAGTCACCAAACACGGCAGCCATTGCTTTCTGTTTCCCATGCCACGCTTTCTTGTAGTTAATGATATAACCATAACGACTAGAAATGTGGGCGATGATGGTTTTCACCTTCAGGTCGGGCTGCTCCTCAATTAGATGTTTGATAACCGCGGCAACCATCCTTGATTTCAACTGTCGATGGCCTTGGGATGTTATTGATGACACACATGTGTGTGTGTTCACCGCACGGGATATGACCCAATGACCGACTCTCTTGCTCTTGATGGCCCGGACCCTAGCTGTGCATCCCTCATTGTGGTTTCTGCATCGAACCATCAGCCTCTTTGTGTCGGAATGGGTTGTCTGCCATTCAAAACTCTGAGTCATTGCTTCAGTGGAAATAGCGTGTCGAACCTCATTCTTCGTTGCAAATTGTTGGCCCTTCGTAAAGCCAGTTAGTGGACCCCATAATGGCACATCTGGCGGGTCCATGTCGGCATCAACATACCAATCTTCACTTTGAATGTGATTGTAGTATGGAATAGGTACACGGTCGTGAGGTACCTCATCACCATCTGCGTCTGATTCTGGACCGGAATCATCAGCACCTTCCAGCGGATCGTAGCTGTCTGCACTAACTTCGCCTTCCTCTTCTTCAACCTCAGGGTCACTAACTGGACTTGGATTGACCTCTTCTTCCATCTGATTATCAGCATGAAAGGCACCTTGACCTTCACTAGCTCCATAATGGTAGTTGTGGTAACTAACACCGCTTTGATAGAAGTTGTACTCGGGTGGGTACTGGTAGCCTGCTTGTTGGTTGTAATCCGTCTGTTGAGCTTCTTCTTCATATGAAGGGAAGGATTGATGACTTCCTCCAGTTCCATGATGATACTCCTGACTCCAACTCGAGTCTTGGAAATCCCGGTGGGGATGATCTTCGTATAATACACTCCCACCGTGGATACCAGATGTTTGGCCATCTCCAGAATGACCTACACTACCTTCGACGGCCTCGGTGTAAACGAACATCTCCGCTTGCTTAATTGTATTGGTGGTCAAAAATTGGACCATGGCATCAACGTCCTCCTGAGTGGTAAGGAGGAATTCCTCATGCCACAGCGACCCGTCATGTCTGTTTGGATATCGATACACCATTCGATCAACTCTTCTACTGCCATCCATGCAGGTAATCTGAGTGCACATTCGGTGGAGCTCTTCAAGCATCGGTCTCGTACGGACCTTCATTTTATGAAAATTGCCACCGACGTAACTTACACCCTTTTCGGTCTCTTCCGTGTAACCATTCCACCGCAACCCAAGCGTGAACCTTTGGAATGCCATCTGCAATGAAAAGTAACACAAGTTACTAACATAACAACACAAAGAAAATGAAAAGTAATTCAAATTACTAACATAAAATCACAAATGACAATGGAAAGTAACACAAGTTACTAACATAACATCACAAAGGACAATGAAAAGTAATTCAAATTACTAACATAAAATCACAAATGACAATGAAAAGTAATTAAGTTACTAACATAACATCACAAAGGACAATCAAAAGTAATTAAGTTACTAACATAAAATCACAAAGACAATGAAAAGTAATTACGAAACAAACTTACGAATTAACGTTAATCGCAAAAACTAAATAATTTAAAGGTGCAAAGCTGAAATTTGAGGAAGGAAGTGTGAAGAATTGTGTTCTCCGAAACAGCCTTTTATAGGCAAATTTTGCAGCAAAACCGCTTGGGGGGGGGGGAGCGGTTTTATGTCTGCCATGCAGCCCTACCCCTGCATGCCGACATGTCCGACATGTCGGGTGTCGGGTGACCAGGCACAAACCGCGCCTCAAGGGAGCGGTTTGTGTCCTGACATTGTAAACCGCCCCTTTCTCAGGCGGTTTGTAATGCCAACATTTAAACGCTCCCTCTTAGAGCGCTTTGTGGTAGGGTTAGCCTATAACCGCGCGTCCCAGAAGCGGTTTTCTCTGGAAAATAAAAACGCGCGTCCAAGGAGCGGTTAGAATAGAAAACGCCGCCTAGAGGCGCGGTTCCATTGAAAACCACTCATCAGAGGCGCGGTTTTATATAAACGATGGTATTTTTGGAAATTATTTGGTGAGGGTGGTATTTTTGTAAAAAAATTTTAAAACAGTGGTAGTTTTGGATTTTTTCCTTCTCTCTTCTATCCTAATATAATCCCTTTTATTCCCCAATTCAATCCCTATTCTCTAACAACTTTATAATCCTAAATATATTCACAATCTCATCATCCAAGACAGAGATGCCTAGATCAATATTTCTTACAAAGTTACAGTGGTATAAGAGCTTGATCATTGTCAGGGTTTATAAAAGAAGAAAAACATAGTAAATTCACTGAAAAA